GGACACACAGGGCTTCGGGCTACATAGTGAATCCTGACGGTAATGTTTGCAGATCATGGGAGAAGGACAAGGCCACTGAAATACAAGTCTGGGTCACCTCCTCTGCATAATGACAAACTCTTGTTTTGAAATTCTTCAGAATTGGGAACAAGGACAAAATTCCCATGTCTCATGCTACTAAATGTCCCCCCAATGTCTGCTGCCTCTCCACCCTGTGGTTTAGAGCTCAGGCTGATGCAGAACACCACCTTTTCCACACATCACATGAAGGCAAAAGGCCACCAGGCAAGAAATGGGTAGTAAGTCTAGAGTTTGTGTGAGTCCTCAGTCCCATCTGCTGTCCCAGCCTCAGGCCCAGCAGAACTCGCCCTGCAGTGGTGAGTGTATCCCAGACCTGTGTGCACTTCAAGCGGGACCACTCATTTCTCCAGTAACTCAGGGTGTGTGCTAGGCGAGAGGTCACGAACAACCACACATGGAAAAACTTCCTGGAACTTTTACTCACTTGGAAGCAGGACAAAGAATAAACTATTTAAATGGCAACTATGATATACAGAGAATCCAAACTCAGAAGTGGTAGCTGTTCAGTATACTAGACAGATACGGATACCTACTGTAGTTCCATTTCCTGTCCTCTGTGGATCATGAGCCCATCCTAACGGAAGTCTGAGAAGCACAGAATAATGTTTTCTGGAAATCAGCTAGGCCTTCACCTTCAATCCATAACTGCGCTCAGCTCTCCTGAAGTCTCCTCAGTCTCTAATATGAACAGACTGTAATCCTCTGACCACCCCCTAGATTTACTGGACACAGAATTCAAGCTGTACCTCTCTGCTTACTCACTACACTCTCAATACACCACTCACTCTACCCAAGCCCTGCTCTTCCTCAAGACACCAACAGAAAATTAGCTCTTCTACTCAGAAGCAGGCCTCCTTCCCATGCATAAGATCCGTTAGCAGGTGTTAACACTATCATCCAGACGACCTGAAAGGCAAAGATAGCAGAGCACTCATCCACTCTCATGACAGCTACCATGGATTCTCTTTACTTGGCATCTGCCCTTGTGTTATGCACAACTAATGCGATGGACAGGTTGGTGTCGTTTCCAAGCTGTCTGGTTCCTGTGTGGTTGAGCACTAAGTGAACCAGAATTAAGCAGCAAGAATGATGCTAAACTTGAGCACTTAACCACATCACAGCAACTATTACCACAGCACATGAATTGACTTGTAACTTACCTAGTCAGGCACGGCTTTAATCTAAAGTCAACTCAAGTAATGCTTTTAACCCTAAGATAAACTTTCCATAGGGCTGGCCCCTTCCACTGCATATCCCCTAAGCCTAGACTGCAGTGGCTCTGAGTTTCTTGCCACAGTCCTCTATCTCATCGTTCCAGATTTAAGAAATACCAAACTGTCTATTATTAAAGCTATCTACTAAGACCTTTGCCTCTGATCACCTCTGGCCCTCCCAGGCATACTGTTCGCACAGCGGTTCTTTGGGAAACAAGCTCTGAGATGGAGACCAGCACTCTGGGAGCTGATTAGGAAATATTCTTAGGTAGCTAGGCTAAGAGGGAAGTGGAAGGGATGTAGTGCCAATGAAGATTCGGCCAATCCATGAGGATTTCTGGTCCTACCATATTGGGAGAAGTGCAGCTGAACCTTTACATACCAACCAGGCCTTGGATCCGAGCTGCTCTGGGAAAAGATGCAACACTGCAGACCAGTTCTTCTTGGTGAAAGCTAAAGAAGCAGACTGCTAAAGAGTATGCCAACAGCACTCCCAGCTCTGGGCAGCATTAGAGCCCACATTTCAGAGGAGGAACTCAATTCTTAGCCATCTTTGTTTTGCTATTTGTGTGAGCTTCTGTCCCTAACCTAAGAACACACACAGAGTATAAAAGCTTTAGCGCACATGTGCACACACATGCACGCACGTGCACAGACACACACACTTTTATTTAAAATCTAGTTCAAATGGAGTTTTAACACTCACTGTAAAGGTGCTCCCACTCAACTCCTATGCATTAGGTGACTGGGCATGTCAAGGTTACCAGCCGTCATACCATGTATTCTGCACAACCTTATCAGTTTTCAGCATAAGTTCAAAAACGTTAAATTTGCTGGAATCATGAAGGTGAAGCATTTTCAATATTTACTTTTAATTAATATTTCTAACTGCATTCACAGTAAAAGCAGGTATTCCTGATGTAGTCATGGGTTACAGCCAATCGGCAGAGAGCAACATCTAAAGGCAGCAGGCTTAAATTTAAGGCATAGGTTCAGCTCCCTTAAAAATGATCAATAAACATTAACAATCACAGGAAACCTGCCCCTAAAGATGACAGCGACCAATTCCTTACAGATTAGAGCATTGAATTTTAAGTATAAACAAACTTTAGCAATTACATTACATTTTAAGTCAACTTTGGGTTTCGTGCATCTGTGGAACTTAATGCAACAGTTCCCTTAAGTTGTCAATATATTCCTTAATGCATTTAATGGACTGCTTGAAAAACAGGCCACTTCTCACTTTAACTGTGAAATTACTTAAATCTCAAGGAATAAGACTTATGACTGCCTATCTGAAGGGGACCTGTGGGGATTTTAGGGGGTATTTATAAAACGGTGTGTTTCTATGACATGAAAGTATCAAATACATACAAACTTAGTAGTTCACTTAGTTATAAGTGAAAAATAAGGCTATACATTTCACAGAATGCAAATTTTACTAAAGTTGCATTTACTAAATAAATACCCTCAGTCAAGTCTTTAAAAGATTAAGAAGCTTGAAGTTATTCACTATGTGTAATATCCAATAAATCTCTAGACAACTTTGAGAGAGAGGATCCTTCCACTGGGCTATGGCAAGTTATTCACACAAAAAAAACGTCTATTCTCAGAAGACTGAGGTATCAAAAAATTAAGATCATTTGTACAGCAAAGGAGTATTCATGAAAATCCACCATAGGGGCTGGCGAGATGGCTCAGTGGTTAAGAGCATTGCCTGCTCTTCCAAAGGTCCTGAGTTCAATTCCCAGAAACCACATGGTGGCTCACAACCATCTGTAAAGAGGTCTGGCACCCTCTTCTGGCCTTCAGGCATACAGACAGAATATTGTATACATAATAAATAAATATTTAAAAAATATTGTATACTTAATAAATATTTAAAAAAAAGAAAATCCACCATAACTAAAACTACGCTTATTTTTTTTTAATCAATACAAATGTAAGGCTCAGTGGTGGTGGCCCACGCCTTTAATCCCAGCACTCAGGAAGCAGAGATAGGCAGATCTCTGTGAGTTCAAGGCCAGCCTGGTCTATAGATGGACCTCCAAAACAGGTTCCAAAGCTTCAGAGAAACCCTGTCAAAAAACAAAACAAAACCACTTTAAATAGCTGGTCAGTGGTGGTGCACACCTTTAATCCCAGCACTTGGGAGGCAGAGGCAAGCAGATCTCGAGTTCGAGGCCAGCCTGGTCTACAGAGCAAGTTCCAGGAGAGCCAGAACTACACAGAGAAACCATGTCTTGAAAAATAGCAAAACAACAAAACAACTTTAAATATACTGATTTCACCATAACCCCTATACTGTATCAATTTTTAAGGTAGTAGAAAATACATCTTGGTGCTTCTATTTTTGTCACACAGAAACTAAACACAACAGACTGAAAGCTCATCAAAGGCTGTACCAGCCCAGTACTCTTCTGTGGTGTCGTCTTCTCTGCTTCCTTTTATTGAAGACCCGCTGACCAAATGGCCAGCCAAGATGAAGTGATGCTCCACAAAAAGATACAAACTAACCTGTTAGAATTAAGAACATTTGCGCCTTTAGTCTAGTCTGCTTTAATGTAATGTATAAATATGACATACCTCCACACTCCAATTTGACCACTGGTAAAATGAGATCTATTTAATTTAGAAGGGTAATAATAATTTCAAATTAATCTAAAATAAACTGTTGGGCTAATGCTACAGGTTTTAAAGCTTGATACGTGTTAAGAGTCTCAGAAAGCAGTTTTGGCACTCGAGTCTACAGTCACTGTGACAGGAAGAAGCAAGCACTGCTTTCTCAGTGTCACTCACAGGGGTGTGAGGCAGGAATGGGACTCAAATGTCAACAAACAGTTTAGTTAGTGCTTTTTGCTCAGAGGCAATTTTAAATCACCAATTTCACGCTTCAATAAGCTTTCCTTGGCCATATGTTGTCCAAAGCTCCGCAAACCATAAAGGCACCAATGACCACATATAATTAATTTCATATAGGTAAATTTAAAAAATTTACAGGAGAAAGTTCCCGTCCTGAAGAGTGCAACTGTGACAGCTCGTCTCAAGACACTGCAACTGTACTATATGCTGAGATTTATTCTAAACCCTATTTTTTAAAGTTGCGCACTACATACACACACACACACACACACACACACACACGATCTGGACACCAATGGTCTCGCATTTCTGGTCCTCATTTACACTGAGTTTATGAGGCATTCAGATCCAAGAACATGAACTCAAGCAGACACTTCACATTGCTACAAAGAACAAAATACTCAGCAAGGGTGATAAAACTTAGTCACGGTTAAAACATCTCATCCTCCAACAGATATTCAGTACTTCAAATAGAAAAGCATACATAACTACCAATTTAAGTTTCTCACAAGAATGGGTCAAAAAGTCCATTAGATCCTGCTCTACTTTAATGTTTAGCAAAAGGAAAAAAAATACTGCTTATCCAAGGAGGCACAGTACAAATAGTAAAAATAAAAACTGTCCTAGGAGTCAGCTGCTAAGAACAAAGACAGTAAACTACTTTCAGTTAACGAGTGCTTAAAAATGTTCTCCCTTGTACCACTACCTCAGTTGACTAACTTTGAGTACATTTAGCAATCAAATTTGTAATTTCATTTTTAAATTTACTTTGTCAGAACACAGCATAGAGAGATAAACAGTATCATTCCTTCTAAATAACTCTTGATGGAGGGCAGTGAGAAATAAAACAGGATGCTTTTTAATTATCTGAAACCAAATTACAGAATGCACACAGCTGTATCTTAAAGAAAAATGCAAACACAACTTAACCATATTTTATTTGACTGCATGTTATTCACACAGCTTGCACAGTTCAAATCCCATGAAATCTCTCTCCAAAAGGACAGGTCAATATCTATGCAGCAACACCCCAGTCATGAAACAGCAGTCCAATATTCTTGAGATACACGTGATATTTCATAGATACTCAACTCATATGTGACGTCAATATAACTTATGGTTATGTTTTTACAAACCTGAAAGCCCTAGGATATTATAGCACTCATCCTAGTGATGTCGAGGTGTACTACCAATCTGATTCCCTCTATGCTCCTGGAAAGTGATGAACCTCATAACTTTTAGACACCATAATAAATATACACATCCAGTCTTATACATGCCAGCCAACACCATAACACAGGGCATGGAAGAGTTAAAACTTGAGTTAAACTCCTTTACACAGATTTGTTTCGTGTGTGTGTAAGGTAATTTGGAGAAGAGAAACAAAAAAAGTTAAAAATCAGATTTTAATATTATCTTTTATCTTATTTTGCTGGTTTCGACATCAAGTACTAATGTGGACTTTGATTATTCCAGAGTTAGGTTTCATCCCAATGTAAGGAAAATTATAATCAGTCCACACATCAAGACTGGTAGCATACCCGTTAGCTTTCAATACTAACATATATAGCTTCATGGTAGCATGTATTAAATGTTCAGCAGTATCAACCGCCAAATCAGTGTCAGTGGATAGTACAGTCAGTCTTAAAGAGGCAGCACCCCACTAAAAGAAAGTTGCACCAATTTTGCTCAGTTTTAGCCAAGTGAACCCACTGTCAATTATAAATGGGACTACTTTTTAAGTTGATATAAAAAAAATGAAAGCCTTAATATCAAATTCATGTTTGAAGTTATTTCAACTTGGAAAGTTTTAATTTTGTGACTAGGTTAAATTTTAGGTTAAAAAAAACTGGTCAAGTAATTAAAAACATCAAAGTATACACTGATATCATCATGTCTCCATCCATTGAGCAGCATGTAATGACCTGATATTTTAGCCACATAGTTCAGGTCATGTTTACAGATCATCACACAGTTAATTCAGCAATTCTGAAGTTAAGGGGAGTTGTGACGGTTTCATTGACAGCCTAGCAAGAACAAAACTTTTGAATTGAAAAATCTAGCATGTATCTACTTTACAACTATTCCCATTAGAGCAAGTCAAGAAAATGTATGTTCATTAACATTCATTACTTATGGACTGGCAAATCAAAACAAAATTTGACAACGTCCAGCATACTGTTTAGCTACTTTCCTCCACGCTGAAACAGAAACAGAACCATCATGATGACTGGCAGTCTTCCAAATACTGGAGCCCAAATGAAGTTTGACCAAAAACAGACTCAAAGTGGTACACAGAAAAGCTGAGTACTACGTGGTCATCACACTTTTAATATTACCAGTATTCTGCATTAAACTTTAAAGAGCAATATAAAATGGAAAGACACATTTTCTTAAAAATAAGGACTATAAATGATCCCACCAGCAGGAAGTTTTTATTTTCAAATATAAAGTGTGCATCTTTATTTTAAAAGTACTTGTTACCATGTTCACTTTCAAAATATTATACTGAGCAAAGAGCAGCTTTCCTTGGGAAAAAAAAAAAGAAAAAAAGGAAAAAAAGCAACAAACTTTCCTGAAAAGGGGCCTTTACCAACTGTTAACGGAGGTAGGGTTTTAAAAAATACAGTAATTACAGCCATAAAATAAAATTCAAACCAAGTACTAGAGCAGAAGAAAAGTAAAATCAAATGAAAAGAACAGCACGAATGCCAGATTCCTATGGAACATTTGTCAGAGAATCAATCTTGTTCCTTATGAGTGCTTAGGGTTTCTATTAAATAAATTATCCATCACAGGTTTACTTGACTCAACTCAAAACAATCCACTAAAATTTGTTAACATTACACTGATTAGCCAAAATACATTGTAACTAATAAACACCTTGGCTGCTCAGAAAACCCAAAGAACTCATTGTAAAAATTTCCAACCCTCCCCTTTTTCTGGAGGAACAAAGCAAAGGTCCCTCAAGAATCTGCTCATGAGTGAAAAGAAAATAAATGCAGCTTAAAACGGATACAATGCTCCTTGAAATTTATTTCTAAGACAAAGAACCAAAAGTGAAGTGTCAAAAATGGAAGCGATGTGAATTCAAATCAAGTAAAAAACAAAACAAAAACCCAGCTACTTTATAGAAGCTGTTCTTCACAGCTTAACAATCATTTTGATTAAATAAAATCATACCAATTTACATTAATTTTCTATTCCTGTCCAAAAATTCCCCATTCTCAAAAAAAAAAAAAAAAAAGTGCATCCAGAACCCAGCAATTCCCAGCTCATCCCTTTAAGTCATTTCTGTTTCCCAAGTAGATTCAATTTCTTACTGTAAGGAAAAAAAGGACTTCTAAATCAAACCACTGTCACTCACCTGGAAAAACTGTCCAAATTATAAAAATCTGAAATAATTTATTATCAAATTTAGAATTTAAATAAAAACAAGTTTGCTTGCAAAGGCATTAAAGAAAAAGAAAAGACAGCATGCATTCAAAAACTAGAGATGAAGACAAGAATACTTATCTACACAGGCACTGGCAGACGCAATTCAATTGTCATCTTTACTCAATGTAAGACAAATCCCACCCTATACTTTTCATCCACTAATCACTGAGGTACCAATATTCAAGAATGGAAAATGTAATATTGAAAAAATAAAACCTAAACTGAAGCTTCTCCCTCAGCCCCTTCAGAAAACTATGGCAGGTTTGTGTGAAATGTTAGTATACTTAAGAGACTTACTACATTGGCTTCTTTAAGGGACAAAAATCATGTCCCACTTACTGGTTCTGTGATAAAATGATCACTATGTAAATAGCACTGTCAGCAAACTTTGCAAATGAACAAGTCTTGGCTATTAACTGGCACATCCTGTTGGTACCAAAAGAACCCTTGAAGTTTAAAACAATCTCATTTAATTCAGAACAAATGCGCCATGCCAAAGTGCAACAAATATTGTGCGACACTCAATGGACACTGACAGGTAACAGCTGCATGGGAATTACTAAATCCACCTGCAAAGCAATTCTGCACAAATTGCATTGCATGCAAAAGTCGCTTCCGTGTGGGTGGAGCCATCCCTTGCCGTCAGTCTCAGCGCAGCCACAGTTTAAGTCGCAGTGCGTCAACTCCATTTAAATAGTATCTGAACAGCCTCTTATCGCGAACAAAACCAAGGTTTTCATAAAGTTTCAAAGCAGACTTATTTGTTATTTCTGTTTCCAAAACAACCTTCAAAAAAGAAAAAAAAAACCTGAAGTTATAATTTCATAATTAAAACTTGACAAAATATATAATCAAATATTTTTTAAATTACATTGATTTGTTTTAAAATGACAATAAAACAAAACTGGTGTAAAGAAAAAAATCATCAAAATGCTAATTATTTTTGAGTGGAGACAGGGGTGCAATCATTTCTCCTGGTTTTTGTGGTGTTTCAACGTTTAGGACTTGACTATATGTTTATAATAAAACAAAGATGAACTATTTTCCTGTGGAGAAAACTAAGGTGACATATAAGGTGATATAAAAAGAAAAAGAGAAGAAAAATCAACAATCAAAGTTTCGAAAGTCAAAACTTCAAGTTATGTAGTCTGACTTCTGACTCCTGTTTCTATTAACCTGTCACTGTTTATCTATTATTGGTTCCTTAGCCTTCCTAATGCTGCGACCCCTTAATACAGTTCTTCATGTTGTGGTGACTCCAGCCATTAAATTATTTCCATTGCCACTTCATAACTGTGATTTTGCTACTGTTACAAATCATAAACATATAATAAGCAGATGGTCTCAGGTGAACCTGTGGCACTACTCCCCCCACACACACACAAACTCCCAAAAGGGTCCCAAGCTACAGGTTGAGAACCACTGGCCTAGAGTCTAGACCAGTCTACAAACTTCAAGAATTGAACCAAATGTCCTAATGCTGTCAGTTTCCATATATAAAATTTTCCTGGTGGGCCGGAGATATAGCTCAGTGGCAAAGTACTTTTCTAGCACGTATTAGGTTTTGAATTCACTCTTCAACAAAGCATCAAAAAGGAAAAAAAAAAGGAAAGAGGAAGAAAAAGAGGGAGGGAGAGAAAGAAAAAAGGTAACTTTTATTGGAAAGTGGCTATACCCATTTGTACACATGCCAATGGCGCCTTTCTTGACACAGAACAGAGTTAAGCAGTTCTCACGAAGACCCATGGTTTGTAAAGCTTAATATATTTAGCATCTTGTCCTTTTGTAGAAAGTTTACTGAACCTAAACCAAGGGAATAAAACATTAGGGTCCATCAGTCACCTGGAGGGATGGTTAGAGTAAGATTGCTCAGGGCGTCAGGTGTGAGGCTGGGGAGAGACAAACAGATCTATAAATGTCACTGGCTAGTCTACAAATCAGCAAGCTGCAGTTAGAGGAAGAGACCCTGGGTCAAAAATAAGGAGGGATGGTGACAGCTAAGCAGGTGAAGGTGTTTACAGAGCAAACCTGGCAACCTGAACTTGCAAGTAGGAAGCCCATATAATGGTGTAAGAAGAGAGAGAACTCTACAGAGTTTTCTGATGTCTTCATGTGCCATGGCATATGCACTCACACATCACAAATATATACACACAGTAATCAGAAAACTAACGTGGAGGGAAATGAAACAGAAAACAACTGAAGATATCATTGTTGATTTCGCACATACATATACATACACACGTACACACATATATATGCCGCACATGTGCACGCACACACACACACAAAGAGACTTAGGACAGGGCCCAAGAATTTGCATTTTAAACAAATTACAAGGTGAGATTGATGTTACTGAGAATCAGAGGTCTAAATATTATTCAGACCAAAACTTAACAGAGGATCGGAGAGTATTAGATTCCATTTGAGTCTTCTGGAATATCGCTGAACTGGTGGCTGTGACAACATAGAGCTACGGGCTCTTCGTATTTCTACTTCCCTCTACCTAAACACTCTCTCCTTTCCCAGCCTTTATATATGTTGCTCTATTTACCTTTTCTATTTATTCTCACCTGTGTCGCTTAGAATTAGCAACACAGCAACCCACAGTCATAGGTGTAATATAACCTTTGGGCATTTAGAGCAAGGGGAACATGGCAAAAGCACAACTCAACAGAGACACAGCAAAGCATCTATAAAGCACATGAGGCCCCTGCTGCTCTATCTTTGAAAAGAATCAAGAGACAGAGAAAAGAGGTAGCACCTCAGTTTGCTACGTCCAAAACCACTAAGGACCTGCACACTTCTGCATCATGGTGAAGGAGGCTTTCCATCCCGCCACCCGGCTTCTCAGCTGAAATCCCAGGAGTCTTTTTTTTTTTTTTTTCTTAATTTTCGAGACAGAGTTTCTCTGTAGCTTTTGGTTCCTGTCCTGGAACTAGCTCTTCTAGACCAGGCTGGCCTCGAACTCACAGAGATCCGCCTGCCTCTGCCTCCCGAGTGCTGGGATTAAAGGCGTGCGCCACCACCGCCCGGCCCCAGGTGTCTTAAACTCTCTTCTCGCCATTCTCCTGCATCCATCAATTCTTCCTTTGAAACTTTCTCTCAAAGTAGTCCTCTTATTTTTATCCTACACTGACAGCACCTTAAACTGCCACCAGCCAAGAATTTCCCATTTTCTACATGTGATCCTCTCATTAATTTCCTAACTAAAATAAGTTATTACCTCTTTGTCCTTAAACTTAATGATCTAAAAATTACCTGAAGAGACTTTTAAAAGGTCTCTCAATATATGGTTTCCATGTACAAGTCTAGCTTCACTCTCAGTCTCCCTCTTCCTCCTCTTCATGTCAACATCAAACTGTCAGTCTCTGGAACCAACTATGATCTACTTCACCTTCTCTAAGTGCACAAGCTTTTAACAATGTAATATGACATCACTTACAGACTTGTTGGCCCAAATTCACAGCTATTCTGAAAGACATGGCCCATGCACAAGTTGGATACACACCTTCAATCATAGCAGAGGCAAGAGATCTCTATGACCACTGAGCCACCCTAAGCTACATAGTGAAAATCTACCATGAACAAAAAAATTCAAGTTTTAATATTGAATGTTACACTACAATACCTGAGTACAAGTGTTCAGATCTGAATAATTCTCTCGGGAAATTCTTAAAATTCTGTTATTAGGTCAATATGTAATTACAACTAAATTGTTAAAGGCAATTTGAGGAAAAACTAATGTTGCCACAACTCTAAATTACTAACTTACTTCATAGTAAAAAACATGAAAAATATTAAAAGAATAGTTATATTTAGACACCAACCTCAAGAAACGAACATGGCTATCTCTACCAGTGGTTCTAAACCTGCGGGTCATGACCCTTTGACAACCCTCTACCTCTAAAAATACTTACTTTATGATTCATAACAGTAGTGGTTGGGGTCACCACAACATGAAGAACTGTATTAAAGGGTCACAGCATTAGAAAGGTTGAGAATCACTGGTTACACTTTACAAATGAATGAAACTCAAGAAAATCAGTAAACGGGCTGAAGAGATGGCTCAGTGGCTTAGAGCACTCACTGGCTACTCTTCCAAAGGTCCCAAATTCAATTCCCAGCACCCACATGATGGCTCACAACCATCTTTAACTGTAATATCATGGGATCCTACATGAAGGATGCCCTCTTCAGGTGTGCAGACATACATGAAAACAAAATGCCTACATAATACATACATAAATATAAAATACATAAATAGATCGTTGACAAAAGAAAATCAGTAAACAAGGGCAAATAATTGGAGTCCAAATAAAAGCTAAACCTCCATAGTAACGACACTTCAGACCTCTCCACTATTTCCTAGAGAAAGATAAAGCAATAAATAGAAAATGTAATCAACTTGAGCAAAGGGATCTAAGTTCACTTTCATTAATAATTAGCAACCTAAAGTATTATAAACTAGTGGTTGTCAACCTTCCTAGTGCTGTGCCTCTTTAATACAGTTCTTCATGTTGTGGTGATCCCCCCTCCCAAACTAAAATTGTTTTCCTTGCTACTTCATAACTGTAATTTTGCTACTGTTATGAATCATAATGTAAATATCTGTGTTTTCTGAAGGTATTGGTGACCCCCATGAAAGGATCATTCAACCCCCAAAGGGGTCGTGAGAATCGCTGTTCTAAAGAGTTAACTACAGCTCCACATTACAACTGAAGTGTGGTTAAGACATGCTATGCAGTTTAGCCCTGGAGAGATGGTTCAGTGGTTAAGAGCACTTGCTGCTCCTGCAGAGGACCTAAGTCCCTCTTTTGGCTTCCTCAGACATACATGACATACCCACTTACATATACATATATAAAAATAAAATCTTCAAAAAATATATTTGAATTCTGGCTTGTTACCATCCTAATAAATTAATTAAGCCTAACTATACAGAAAAAAAATACACAAGTGGCTACTCTAATCAATATGTAAAGATGGTCTTAGTATACTGAATATTTCCTAAGAGATCTTGTATTACTCAATATAGTAGAATATGCTAAGAAAAAAGTTAACTATTTTTCAGCATTTTATCACTTCAACTCATAAACATTTCTTAAATCAAGGTTTATACTGGAAATTTACTGCAAAGCTTCTCTTTTACTTCACATAGAGACATGAAAAAACAAATCAAAAAATAATTGCTGTGGAATATTAGTTTAAGATGTGCTATATTTTTTTATGCTGTGAAACATTTTGTTTAATGATGCAAAGGTGCTGCATTCTTTTAGCTGCATTTGTTTAGCTCTATGAAGCTGTGTTACTCTGCCTATCTAAAACACCTGATTAGTCTAATAAAGAACTGAACGACCAATAGCAAGGCAGGAGAAAGGATAAGTAGAGCTGGTAGGTAGAAAGAATACACAGGAGAGAAAAAGAGAAGGAAGGAGCAGGAGGGGAGAGGAGGACACAAGGTGCCAGACACCCAGCTAGCCATGAAGTAAGAAGTAATGAAGGTATACAGAAATAGAGAAGATAAAAAAAGCCCAGAGGCAAAAGGTAGATGAGATAATTTAAGAAAACCTGGTTAGAAATAAGCCAAGCTACGGCTGGGCATTTATAAGTAATAATAAGCCTCTGTGTGTGTGATTTCTTCGGGAGCTTGGTGGCAGGCCCCCTAAATGAAAAGAGCCCCAAGAGTAAAAAACAGCCAACAACAGATAATTCTGGATTCTTTTTTTTTTTTTTTGTCCTATAAACACAGTTAAGAGAGATGGCTCAGTGATTAATAAATGCATGCACTGCTCTTGCAGGAGTCTAATTCAGTTTCCAGCACCCAAACCAGACAGCTCACAGCTATGAGCTACCCTAAGGGGCCCACTCTTTTGGCCTCTTGAATATCTACAGACAGGTGGCTAGCAGACACAGACACATAATCTTTCTAAAAGAAGCTTAATGTGTTTTGAGTGTTTGATTCTCTTTAACAGAGAAATACATTACAGTGATGGTCCACCAACTCTCCATCAAGAAAACATTATGAGGATAAGTCAAACTGGCAGAGTTCAGACAGCATTTTTAACAGTGGAGGCTGGAAGTTCATGGAGAGAGGCTGTTATCTGGCTCCCAACAGAACTTGATAGATATCTGATGAACAAGTAAGTAACTATTGTTCTTCACAACAAAAGTTAAAAGCACATTAACATAACTTCACACAAATTTTCAGAGCAGGCAAAGTTAAATGATTTGCCCTCAATTATACAACTTATATACTTAGAAGTTCCTAAGTCACAGAAGATGGATAAGAAATCAAGGCATCTCATACTGAGTCCTTTAAATAAGTCAAACCATTCACTCAAGATACTTATGGTATGAGGCCATGAGAGCTTAGAGAGTAAAGTGCTACCAAGCCCAGCTGAGCTGGTAAGGTCTAGGTTCAGTACAACCTATCTCAAAAATTAGGGTGAAAAGTGATCAAAAAAAGACAACCAAGGTCAACCTCTGGTCTCTACACACACACATGCACACACTGACAATAAAATTAAGATTTAACCATATACTAACACAGTATTCTCAAACTCTTAGAAGCTTTGATGAAAAGCTAGTATTTTTCAACACTTTTCAGTAAGTACACATCTTGCCTCATAAGCAATGACTAATATTGGCGCCCAGACGTGGGGCTAACTGAAACCACAAAAAGCCTGAGAAAGCTTGGGAGAGAATGGAGTGAAGCATGTTTTCTTGGTAGCAGAAATTTCTTGGGTCTTCTCTGCTTGCTAGAGGCAAGCAAGCGCTCTCATCTAAGAGAGGCTTCCTGACTCAGCTTCAGCTGCAAAACCCTGCAGCTCATTAAGAGGTCCTGCCACGAAACACTTAAACGGTGTTGTTGAAAAGCTGAACGCATGCTTTTCGGTTTTCAGCTGTAGCAGGAAAACAGCTGTGCCGTTTAAAAATGCTGGCTTTCTGGGCTGTCCTGCCACGGCAAACTCTGATTCTTTTACGCAGGCGGTTCGTGCGGTTTGCAAGCACAGGCTGCTGAAGCTTGCTGGCTGGCAGGGACCTTGAAACGCCATAGAGTTGTGGCAGTAAACATGGCTACAACCGGTACCTCAGCCACGAGGCTGGAAAGCTAAGGAATGGACTGGATCTACCTGGCAAAGCCACGGCTTTAATCCTACTCATATTGCTCAGTAATTTAAAGGCTCGTGTGGTCAGAAAAAGAGAGATATACAGTAAAGAGAGATTCAAAGATAAAGAAAATTTTAAATGATTTACAGTGTTAAAAATGTATGCAGACTAAAAGTTAAAATTCTTAAAGTAAAAGTAAAAAAGTAAGAAAAAGAGAAGTTGTGTGTGGTAGTACACGCCTTTAATCCCTACACTTGAGAGGCAGAGGGAGATTGACCTCTGTGACTTCAAGGTGTGGTAGCACACGCCTTTAATCCCAGTGCCTAGAAGGCAGAGACAAACGGATCTCTGAGAGTTCAAGTAGAGCCTGGTCTACAGAGTTATTCCAGGTCAAAGAGATACAGAGAATATGAAATAAAAGTAAAATTAAATGAAATAGAGGTTAAAATAAAGCGTACAAAGATGGAAAATACACAGAGAATCTTGATACTGTATACTATTATGCTCTTTTTGAATTGTTTGAATGCTGAGGAAGGAGCAACAGATGCTAAAAGATACTTGTTTATAAATGCTGCTGAACTAATCCAACGTAGAGATTTTGATGCCTTGACTTTGAAATTTGGATCTAAGGACATGATACTTTGGAAAGGAGTTTCTTTTTTTGTTTTCACAGAGGATGAGACCCTGGTTCATTTCTTCTATTCCGATATGGTATGATGGACCACGCCCTCCTGAACGGTTGCTGTGAATACCTTCAGAAAATTGCTTTGCTCAACTGCCAACTGAGATGAAACTAGCACACAGGTTATACCATGAAAGCCTTTAATTAACGACGCCCCCATTCAGCAGGAAGCAGTTTGGAGAGAAAAAACTGCGCCCATGTTCCCAAATATTGTTTATAAATGTTCTTTTACATTTAAAGGGGGAGATGATATAGGACTTTTCATGACAATGAGACACTCTGCTCCTGGCAGCACCAATCTACTTCGAGAGGAAGATGGGCATCGAAGAGGATCCTTATGGAGTTTGATAGCCATTTGTGCAAGAAACTGCTCTTGCCTGGACTACTGCATAAACTGGACACAGAGAACCCGCAGAGAGAGGACTACTGAACTTGCCTAAAGGTGAGATGACCTTTTGGGGTTCCTGATTCATGAAAGAGTCTGCAAGACATTCTTCAGGACAAGCAGATAGTGACTGCCTTTGAAATTTCCTGCTTTGTGGAAATGTCTGCTGGAAACTATGGGCCTGTAGGCCGAAGATGGATGCCCCAACGGTACAGAGGAACTTTGGGTGACTGTCCAGGCAGCGAGAGGTCTCTGTCATTTCTACAGTTTGAGTTTGCTTATTTCTTATTTGCTTAGGTAATATTGTATCTTTCTGGACTGTTTGATGGAGTTAAGAATAGTTAGCTATAGTTATAGTTTTCCTTAGTTATGATATAGATTATTGTAATTTTTACTTGATAACTGTTTTGTTATATGTAATTTTGCTATGTTAAGTTAAAGCCTTCCTTTTTTAAACAGAAAAAGGGGAAGTGATGTGGGAGTGTCATATCAATCTGTTGATTTCATTGGCTGAGCAATAAAGAAACTGCTTGGCTGGCCCTCATAGGTTAAAGCATAGATGGGAGGAGAAAACAGAATAGGATGCTGGGTGGAAGAGGAAGTGAGGTCAGACTCTGCTCTGCTCCCGGAGAGACCGTACAGCTCTGCTATCTGGAGCAGAGACACCATGATGGACAGAGGCTAGAATCTTCCCAGTAAGCGCACCTTGGGGTGCTTACACACATCATTAGAAATGGGCTAGTCCAGGTGCGAGAATTAGCCTGTAAGGGCTAGAGTTCATGGGCCAAGCAGTTCTTAAATGAATATAGTTTGTGTGTTGTTATTTCGGGCATGAGCTAGCCAAGCGGCCGGGGTGTTGGGGACGCAGCCCCGCCGCTCTTATTTCAACATAATATAACTCATGAAAGACAAAGTAGTTCCTGGCCCTAAGCATCCCTATTCACAAGAAATAATTCTCAGTAGCATAAAATCAAAATATAAGTCTACCAACTCAAAGATTTCTCCACACAGCTAAGCAACTTTTGTGAAGTCTGAAGAGTTATTATATCTACATGAAAATATGCTTAGAAAATGTGAAGGCAGATTAGACAACCAGATTTCAGTAGAAAGGACATAGATGAGGAACAAGACAATAGGAAGAATTTTGTAAACACACACAAATTAACTTTAGCAAGGTAATTTCTATTATTCTGGTACTCTGGAGGCTAAGGTAGAAAAATGGCAAGTTTAAGGGCAGCCTGGACTACCTAGTAAACTCTAGACCAGACTGAGATAGAGACCCTGTCTCATACAACAAAACAAAACCCCTCTGTTTTAAAAAAGTTATCAAAGCACTTACTAAGGTCAAAGAAAGGAACCACCTAATCGCATGTATCGAATAACTTTGCCAAGACACATCTGCGCCCTCACAGTAAAGAGGTGCTGAGCACAGTGGTGCACACTAATCCCAGCATTTGACAAGTTGAGATAAGCACCAGCTTGGTCAACAGTGAGTGCCGGCCAGCCAGGGCTACATAGTGAGACTCTCAAAATAAACCAAAAGTGACTTTTCCCCAAGGATAACTGTCATTTGTGTTGCTCATAAAGTGCAGTAATTTTTATTTCTTAGCTGTCTCTACTATAAAAGGCATTCATTCTCTAGTTTAACACCATTCTCACCTCCATTACTGTACACTGTTAGCATCCCCAGTAATCACCAATGTTTACTAAGCATATGTGAAGCACAGTGCTATAGGAATAAAGGGAAGTATAGATGGCAAAAGGCCCTATGGACAAGCTGAAAAGATGTCCCCTTATGGTAATATGCAAATCAGTTGTTCATTATTTAATACTTAAGAAATATTATCCTTGAGTGAAATGCCCTCCATACAGGTTGAGAGTTTTCCCAATAGGACAAAAAGAAACAACTTTAATGACTCAGCTGATAGACAACAAAGCTTTTGAATATTTATTTACTGAATATGTTTAGATTTCACTCTGTTCTAAAGAAATTCAACTCCATTATCTTAAAATGTACTTTACATCACAACTATTATTTCTTAACAAATAGCATTTTCTCCACAATCTGATTTGTGTAGAAGATCTGCAATGACACTTCCAGTACTGGTACTAGCAGATGCTGTAAAAACCCATTCAGCAGAAGCCTGTCCAGGACAACAGGAGTAAACATCTGAGTAACTCACCTCATCACAGTCTCCTTCCACCATGGCATATATAGCTTTCTTTACCAGGTTAGTACCTAGAATATAGATCTGAGTATTAATGAAGGAAAAGTATAATTAGTTTCTTAAAGAATCTAAATTATGGTAATCATAAGTGCACAGAAATCAAATATTAGGCTTTATCTTGAACGCAGATACACTGATCATCCCTAAGTAAAACATAAACCAGGAGAAGTCCAGGGAAACCCCACAGAGAAGTGAGCCTGCCTTGGAAAGATCCGCTTTCTGATAGATTCCCTCTCCTCGGGTCTCATTAGCCTCAACCATGAGCCTGTTTTATTGTTACAAGATATTAGGAAAGATAAATATAAAAAGGGAAAATATAGTACAAAGTAGTCCGGAATCCTGTGAGCTAGCAAAGATACTGAATGACTGAGCTATTTTGCCAAATGTCATCCAAATCTCTAGACACAGGCACAAGACCATCAAACAAGAACTGCTTATCCCACTGAGGCCTAGACAAAACCAGCTGCTGTAAAACGTACTGAACTTGGCACAACCAAGTCAGGCACTCTCACTGATGCCAGTGGTGTGTCTGTAACTCTAGGAAAGTGTCATAACTCAGTGTCACACAGATCTGATACTGTAAGAAATAACTGCCAAATCTCATTTTAAGAAAGACAAAATTTTCCAGGTGTAATTGTACATACCTTTAATCCCAGCACTTGGGAGGGAAGGTAAATGAACCTCTGAGTTCAAGGCCAATTTAGTCTAATAGTGAGACCCCATCTCAAAAAAGATATAAATTTTATTTTTATTTTAAAATCACTTTGTTTCCAAACTGGACAATAAAACTGTTCTGAGTCCTTAGCTCTTTTCATGCTTTATAGAACAAACCAAATTCATTACAAATTTTAGTAGAATTTACGGTTAACATTATCCAAAAACAAAGTTCTTTACCCTTTAAACTGGCTCAGTACAGTGGCACCTGACTGTAATCCCAACTACTTGGAAAACTGAGGCAGGTATTTAAGCCCAATGTCAAATAAATAAATAAACTGAACATATTTATAGGGATTTCTCAGGACACTATCTTGACTTTGAAAGTCTTAAAAGTAATTATTAGACAGCAACACCCATATTCTTTTATAGCTACAAATAACAAAACTGCTAACAGCAATAACAGCACATCAAATACTTTATAACACTGACTTAGCTTAAAATACATCCCAACAAGCACTTCTCCATCTGACCATCCAGTTTTAAAAAAGAGCCAGCAGGTACTGGACACTAGGACAGAAGTTCTAATTGGGCTTACAAAACAGTCAACAGGGAAAGCTTGAGCCACACCAGCTGAATGAGATTCTCAAGGAGAGTCTAACCATCTGCTTTTAAACCATGCAGACGATTCTAGTGACAGTTAAAAAACACACGTGTTGACCCAAAGATGGGTCAGCGGGGATCAGATCCCTAAGACCCTAAGATTATAGAAGAGACTCTCAAAAATTGTTCTCTAACCTGTACACATGCACTGTATCTCTCTCTGTCTCTCTCTCTCATACACACACACACACTAAAAAAAAAAAAAAACTAAGGAATGCAACCTTAAAAAAAAAAGCCTAGGAACATGAATCTCAGAATAATAATTACCTTCTTGATGATTAGCATAAAGTAACTAAGAATTACTCCATAATTTTAGTTTGGTTAGCGTCCACTGAACTTGAGAATAGTACCTGGTATAAAATGTTCTCATAACTCTATAAAAAACAGGAACACTTTCTCCAGTACTTAATATAATATAAAGCATCCTGGATCAATTTTTTAAAACTCTAAAGACAAAAACTGATCATCTGATACTTTTATTAAAAAGATTATCTCTCACCAAGTGATGGTAGCACATGCTTTTAATCCCAGCTCTCAGGAGGCAGAGGCAGGCAGATCTCTGTTGAGTTCGAGGCCAGTCTGGTCTATAGAGTGAGTGCCAGGACAGACTCCAAAGTTACACAGAGAAACCCTGTCTCAAAAAAAAAAAAAAAAAAAAACATAGATAGGTCAGGTGGTGGTGGCGCCCGCCTTTAATGCCAGCACTGGGAGGCAGAGGCAGATTTCTGGGAGTTCAAAGTCAGCCTGGCCTACAAGAGCTAGTTTTGGGACAGGCACCAAAGCTGCAGAGAAACCTTGTCTCAAACAAAACAAAAACAAACAAAAAAAAAAAAACCATAGAAAGAGACATAGATGAAAGATAATCTCAAAAACATTAAAGCCTAATAATCTGAGTTCAATCCCCAGAACCCGTGTGAAAGGAGAACTGACTCCCCAAAGCTGTCCTCAGATGCCTGTAGCAATGTGTGTACATAGACACACAGTTATTCATTTAAAAAAATACCTCCTTCCCTTACCTTGAAGTTTATTCCTACATACTGACATTTAAATCTTTTGTTTCAATATACAAAAATGAAAATAATTTATTCACCCTTTGTGAAATAACATTTTCCTTACCAATGCCATTCCTCCTGTACTTGGAATCCACGGCTAACATGGCTATATAACCTCTGCGGAACATCTTTTTGTGCATATCCAGCTTGCAAACGATGGCACCTACACACTCCTCCCCTACCATGGCCTTGAAAATAAAGAAACAGTTAAGAAAAATACAATGCCATCAGGTACTGCAAAATTATCAAGGGAAAACAGAACTGACCCTTGGTCAGCATTTTTGAGAGGAAATCAGGAGAACTCCAGAGTAAAACAACAATCACAGAAAGTTTCGGAAATCTGAATCTCAAAATTCTTCAAATATTCTTGTTTCTAAAACTCAAACTTTCTTCAGATCATGATTTTTTTTATGCTTATTAAAACCCTAAGGGAGAGGGAGACAAGATTTCTACAAGGCAAACACTCAAGAACTTTTACAGACTCCACATCAGTGCTTATATTTAAACTAATTGAGATAAAGACCTGTTTACATTTGGAAGAGGGAGCAAGTGAACAAAGTATTTCTTTAAAAAGTCTACTTATTAAAATACAATAAAATATTGAACAATTTACCCATAAGCAGAGTATTACAAGTTTTTATAATAAAGATTTAATGAAAGATAAACATAACTGGAAATTACATCTGGTAGTTAATTTTGATCAAGAAAAAAGTACTATGACTTTTTCAGAAAAAGCACTGTTTAGAAGTATTACTTAAATTGTACTCAAAAGACACTTTAGCACTAAACACATGATGCTCCGCTTTCAGGATATTCCGGACAGTATGAGTCATTATCATAAAGCTCCCAGAAATTCAATAGCCTGCAGTCAGTAGGCTAAGGTGGAAGGATCTGAGTCAGAAGGATCCTAAGTTCAAGGCCAGCTTGTTCTACTCAGCAAAATCCTGTTTCCAAAATATATGTAGATCATATATGTGTGATATTTTAAGACATATACACATAAATATCTTAAATTTCAGTCTTTTTAGTCAGTGTAAATTAGAATACTATGATTTCTATTTTAATAAAACTATCAGGTTATCGGAGTGTTAAAGGCTAAATATTAAACAATGCTGATAACTCATTTTGATATTCCAATGTTAATGCAAATGCTTATCAAATATTTCAAAACTGTTAAAAGTTCTAATAGTGTATACTGAGAAATATAAATAGGGCAATCCCTCAGCAAGCAATATTTCTGTTTTGTAAACTAACTTTCCAGAAACAACTATTTCAACAATACCATAAATTGGTCAAAAGATTAGTAAGAAAAATCTAACATATACTTAATATCTATTTTAACTTTGATTCTGTTGTAACATTTTGTGGTCTAGTATTTAATACATTTCCTGAAACTCCTTTTTAAATAAACTGTGGAAAAAAATCTTTGTAAGCAAGATAATTTTAATCCATTTAGAAAATGCTTTTGAAGGGATATTAAAGTCAATAACTGATAACAGTTCATTCCCATTGTATCATATTTTCCATAATTCTTCTTGGTCAAAAAAAAACTTACAATTTCCATTTTTTTTCATTCATAACATACCAATTTAATGCACAACAAATCAATTTAATTTCTTTTTGTATTAAGACCTGAAACAGAGATAAAAGTTATCTAAATGAACAACTTTGACAGCCTTTTTAGTGCTAAGAACTGAATCCAATAACATGCATGTACTCTATCATTGAGCTACACGCCCAGCCCTGCTAATAGTAGTTTCTGATCTGGATTGTCAATATGTATGTATGTATGTATGTATGTATGCATGCATGTGTGTGTATTCAACATATACATATATGTGTACATGTGCTCACACGTATATAATTATCACAGACCAAATTATATAACAGGCAAAAAATAAATAAATAAATTGCCCTGACCTAGTAAGCAAGGCTCGTGTAAAAAGGAAATAACATGGGAAACTTAAGACCGTAGAACAGCTATAGCCTACAGTTAATAAAGGCATTCAAAAAGAAAAATTAAAGCCACTAAATACAGCTAGGTAATACTTTCAAACTGCACCAGAATTTCAAACAAATATTTGTCCTCTGACAATATAAGTAAAAAGCAAACAAAATATTGTTAGTTTTTCTTGAGACATTACTTCCCTAGTTAAAAACAGAAATATAGATCAAGTTGTACATATCATTTAAAAATAAAAAATCTGACATGGATATATGACTTGCTCAGTATAAAAACCAATACTGCAATCCTAATAAATTGCTTATTCAACAATTACTAAATAACTTGGTTTTTTTCCCAAACCAAAGCTGCTGCACACACTTTGAAGCATGTTATTAAACATGTTTCCTGAAGTACAGTAAGTAGTAAATCTATCTTTTACCTTCACAAGGCTTTTTAAAAGCCTGTCAAGTCTACAGAACTATGAAAAACGTGTATCTGCAAAACTGATTCCCAAACTCCCCAATCATTACAAAAAGAACACTGGAGGACACCAGAAAGTTAAAATTAGAACAGATAAAAGGAAATACTACATTGCTAGTCATAAATTTAAGAATTTCTAAAAACCCGAAAGCGAAAACATTGTGAACTATAGGCTAAAGTTTATGGTAACTGACAGTGACTCATCTGGATTAGTTTTTATTTTCCAAAGTGCTACAATATTAGGAAGGATTTAAAAAAACTTGTTGTGATAAGTCAACCAAGTACAGGCAATTTTTAAGGTTTACTGCATGTTCTCCTGGAACCTGGAGGCACTTCGGAGGTTCTAATCCCGAGATTGACGCTTATAAGGACAACTTCCATGATGATAAAACAGTTCTTCATCTTATTTGCCAGCATGAGAGGCCAGGAGACCAGAGAGCTAAAGACCTCTCTGCTCCTAAAACAGCTACAAGTTTGAACATTATCCATAACCACGGTTTTTATTCCCATTGAAAGAGAAGAAGGAGGGTCTAGATTATCTCTAGGGTGGTCCTTTCAGATGTAATTTGAAAGTCATAATTCAGACATTATTTACACAAATGACTTCTAATGGAAAATTCAATTTGAAAAGCACACGAAAGACCTAGTTTTACACTGTCTCTGTCGTGTAACTAGTTTTATTGTTCGCTATCTCCAGACTCATATTCCATACTTAATGAGAAACCTTAGAGGCCAACTTGTACACATTTCAACTTCTAGATATTCATAACTTAATGTTAAACTCTGGCTAGTAAAGGCTAAAGTAAAAACTTAACTGGCCAATTAGGAAGAGTGTAGACGAAATGAAGTTTACCATGGTATAAAGTGACAGAAAAACTCAGGTCTAGGGACAGCATGGCTCAAACTCACGACCACTGAACGCCGCCCTAGCCCCATTTCAGTTTAAACTCCTTGATACGCTTTTGTGGATTAATTTACAATTCAGTCAATACATAATTCTGAGGAATTGCATTTAATGGCTTTCTTGTCATCACAGTGTTGTAAGTACTGTCCCATATTCACTGACACTACTATGTCTTAGAACTTTTGTTTGTCTTTGGTTTTTGAGACAGGGTCTCTCTACACAAGCCTGGCTACCCTGGAACTTGCTGTGTAGATCACACTGGCCTTGAACTCAGAGACCCTGCTGCCTCTGCCTCCCAAGTGCTGGGTTTAAAGATGTGTGTTATCCCGTCCTGCAGAACTATTTTAACATAATACTAAGAATCCTGACCACATTTTCTGGAATACAAAATACAAAATAGTACCTAAAGTTTAAACAAATGTCCTAAAATAAAGTTTAAGCACAATTAACACAAAAGCTAACGAAACTACCAATGTCTATCTACAATATCCAGGATTTCTGGATTACCATCAAGCTGTGGAAGCAACCACAAGCCTTTTGACATATTGTCAAAACATACTGCAAGGAATACTGAGTGCAACTAAGTCAGGGTTAAATAATAACAATGGGAGCTTTATTCTCTGAGAAGTATGTGTTGTGCTCACGGTACAGCTTACACCTCAAGTCTAACAATATCTCAGTTAAAGATTTCATACAGACACAAAGTGGGTCAATGTTACTGTTGAGAGATTACGGGTGCTGGGAATGAAACCTTACAATACCTATTCATCTTATTCAATAGACAAATCTGTTCAACTTACATGTAAGTTAAAAAAAAAAAAAACCCTTTGGTCAGCTATCCCCATACAAACCAAAAGCACCAGTTTTCAGGGTGTTTGAGCAGTTTCACACTTAAGTTTCCTGTGTCCCACAAAAAGGCCTGTTCCCGTTCCAGGGGCCTTTCAGGCACCGGAAGTGTTAGTGACACCTTCTGCAATGGCACACCTGAAAGCATGCTGCCTGCAACTACTGTCCTACTGAAGGAAACAATGTCCATCATCCATGACCAGGGCCCTGAGATTTCATTCTCCAACGTGGCCACAGCAACAGACAACCACGTTCACCAAAACATGTTTACCGCATATATTCTTCCCTGACTAAAGCTGGAACTGAGTTATTACTAAGGCCTGCACGTGAACAGAATCAGGTTCCAATTAAATCACTACAAAATGCTCTGCGAATGAGGGAGGGGAATCGATGAAGGGTAAACATGATTAGCAGCTAATGTAACCAGGACATAAGACCCGCCCCCGTCCCCCGCCCCAGGTGAAACACGCTCTTCTGTTACTACAGGAGCCTGAGAACCTGCTCAGGAGCTCTTACCTTCCACACAGTTCCATTTACTAACTAGGAGAGCGCGCGCGCGCGCACTTTGGCACTTCACAGCTGTAGGGTGCTGTGAAAATGAAGGCTACAACCCCTGCCACCACACACCGGGCCCTCGCCTGACACTCCCTGCCCTGAGTGGCCAGGCTCTCTGCCGGGCTCACCCTCTAGTCACGCCATCCACTTACCAAGAAACACAGCTGTGGCCAGTTGTGGATAAAATATCTATACGTATAAATGGAGTAGGGTTCGGACAGATCTTTGGTGATCAGTCTCATGATATCAGGCATTTGGAGCTCGGATTCATAGCGGACGTATCGTATCGTCCGATCCTCCCCGGGCTCGGCCTCCCGGCCCAGGGAGCTCCTTAGACTGCAGCCGGCGGTCAGGGCCGAAGCCAGCAGCCGCACCTGCTCGTCCTCCTCCTCCTCCGGCTCGTTGCCCTCCACCAGTCCGTTGCGAGCCGCCGCGGGGTCGCTTGCCGCCGCCGCCGCCGCCTCCGGCCGGCCGGGGAGCGCAGTTCTTGCATTGTTGGGGGCCGGGCAGGGAGCTCTTTCCTCCGGGTGTCCCCCGGCTCCTTTTGTGGCAGTCACTTTGGGGGCCCCGTCGGGGGCGGCTGCCTCCGCGGCACTCAGAACCTTACTCTTGAGGGTCGCCGCGGCCCGGAGGTGTCGCAGTTCGGGGCCGATCAATCCGTTGAGCTGCTGCGGCTGCTCTGGAGGCAGCTGCGGGCAGCGCAGGCAGGAACGCGCCTTGGCCGTGCTCGTCGCCTCGCCGCCCGCCAGGCTACCGCAGCCGCCTTCGTGCTCCTCGTCGTCCTCCTCGTCGTCGCTGCAGCAAGCGAGCGCGGCCCCCGCCGGGAACGGACAGCGGGGCTCGGCCGCCGCCGGGGCCGCGGGCGCTGGTGGTGGGAGGAGGCTGCTAGGCCCAGGCGGTACCTCCGCCATCCTGGAAGCGACACAGCCGAGAGAAGAGGCCATGAGCGGCGGCCGAGCGGCGCCAGGCAGCGCCGAGCGGCGGGCCGGGGGCGGCCGAGGCGGGGGGAACAAAGGCAGAAACCGTCCCTCACCGAGCGTCCCCAACGCCGCGCCGCCCCCACGCCGCCGCGCCGCCGTGCCGGACACCGTCCCCGGCCGCCCGAGCCCCGCCGCCGGCCGTGTCACCGCCTCCCACCCGCCCCTCCTCGCGGCTCACCCCGCGCCGCTCCCCGCCGCCGCTGCCGCCGCTCCTGTCCCTCAGCCACCGCCGCAGCCGCCTCTGCCGCCGCGGCCGCTCCACCGCCGCCGCCGCCGCCGAGCCTCTCACCCGGCCGCCGCCGCCGTAAAGCGCCTCGCCTGTTACCCCGGGTAAAGTTTCCTGGGCCAGGCTTTACGACACTTCCCTGCCTGCCGGCTGCCGGGCCAGAGAAAGGGGCGTGGAGGGCGGTGACCTGTGCGTGGGGCGGGGCCCGCGGTGTCTCCCGAGGGCTTCCGGGCGGCCGCGCGCCGGGGGTGTGGCCCTAGCCTGGGGTTCCCGGCCGCGGAAGTCGCCGGGCGGCCTCCCGGGATGAGCAGAGGTGGGCCGGGCACGGCTGGCGCTCCGGGAGCTGCGGCGGCTGTGGACCAGCCATTGACAGCCCATCTCCAGCGCCTTTTTGCAGCTGCACTGTTAACTTTTGCTCGGACCTGGCGGGTGGGGCAGGGAGAAGCGGCTACAAGGGTAGCAAATCCCGAACTGGACGGCGAAAAAGAGGGAATTTGAAGTATTGAGCTGTGAAGATAGCGTTTTGCAATAGGAAAGAACCTCATTATCCCGTTGGGACAAGAGAACGGTTAGCCGTCTTCCAAAGCCCCTCTTGCCCCATTTCTCCATCCAGAATAATGGAGCCATAAATGTGACTAACAGGTGCTGGACAGCCACAGGCACACCTGGGGGACAGTGACAGGCGGTGGTGGCTAAGAAGCACACTTCTAATTTGTGATTGTAATTGTGTTAGGTTGGGAGGCACCGGGAAAGAGTTCGCGGGATCCTCCCAGGTGACGTGCATTCTAAGCAGGTGTAGAAGACTAGAGCTTGCATTTGAGCATGTGGCTTACCGCTGCCTGCTTTAGTCCACAGCTGGTGGCTTGCCGCATGTCTGAGCTGAGAGGCACGAGGGTTGGGTAAATAACTCATGCATACAAATCAAGTTACTATTTTTTTGTTTTAGTTGTTTGTAGAAGCTGGACAGATGAGTAAGAACATTTGCTGCTAGGATTAGATTCCCAGCACAGTTCACAACGGTCTGCAATTCCAGACCCAAGGGATACTACAACCTCTGCTGACCTCCAAGGACAACAGGAATACACATAATGCACAGACAAACGTACATACAGGGAGGGGGGAAAGGTACATTTAAAAAAATAGGTGTTTTATTTATTTGAACTGACGTATAGAGCTGGTCAGGTGTTCCCACGATTAATGATTTCACAGATAAGCTTCTCTGACAGAAGGTTTGCAACTTTGTGCCACGATCTAATCTAAACTAAAAAACTGAGTTGCCCTAATTGGCACGTCTATAGAGTCCTAGTTCTCAGGAGGCAAAAGCAAAAGGCTCAGAAATTCAAAGTAAACCTGGGCTGCATAGCAGAACCGTATCTAAAAATAAATAGTACATAAAAATAATTCTCAAGCAACACTGCCCCACATTGTGGCAGCATTTTAGACTCAAGGGTTACAATCCTTTTTACCGAGACTATTAAAGGACACTAGTGCTTCTCAGGGAGAGATTCAGCCTCTCAAGATAATAAAATTTGTAATTATCCTCCAGGTATTGTGCAAAGTGTCCTCTATTCATTATGAATGTCTTGCCAAAATACATTCCTGTACAAACAGGCTTGAAAAGACTTGCGTATTTCAGTCTTCTCTGTATTGTGGGGAAAGACTACGTAGCTATAAATCTGAGAATGAAGAAATAAACGTTTTTGTTCTTTTGTGTGTGTGTGGTGTGTAGGCATGAGTGAGTGAGTGAGTGAGTGTGTGTGTGTGCATATGAACACCTGTGCTGCACGTATTGTCACACTTGTGGGCACAGGTAGTGCATGCATGTGGACCCTTGATGCAGAAATCTTCCTCCTTCACTCATCCATCTGTTCTTTGAGCCAGAATCTCTTAGTTGAAACCAGAACTCACCAAGAGAGCTAGTTTTGCAAAGCTGCTTGCTCCAGAGATCTCTCTTCTCTACCTTCTCAGGCTGAAATGAAAGGAGTGCCACAACATCAACTCAACAGTTTCAAAGGATCTGGGGATTTGCACTCAATAGAGTCCTCTTGCTGGCAAAGCAATCTAACCATCTCCCAATCCTAAATTAAAGACCAGTACTGTCAAACTGTGTTATTGTTTTTAAAAATTAAAATAAGTATTGCTATTGGTACTATCCTAGCTCCTATTAGCTTTGCAGACTACTCCCACAATTATTCACTATAAAATAACCATTTATTGTGTGTGCTGGAATCTTATGTCAAATTGACATAAGCTAGAGTTATCTAAAAGGAAGGAATGTCAATTGAGAAATGAAATACCTCCGTAAGATTAAGCTATATGCAAGCCTATAGTAGGGTATTTTCTTAATTAAGGATTGATGGGGGAGGACTCAACCCATTGTAAGAGGTACCCTTCCAGAGATGATGGTCAGGGTTCTGTAAGAAAGTGGGCTAAGTGTAGCACAAATAATAAAAACTCAGAGACAGATATTGGGGTCCAACCTGAAGATCAGAAAAGCAAAGCAGCCAAACTACTAGGGAGCTTTTACCTCAATGAAATCTTCAGAACAAAAGAGAGCAATTTCCTGTCCCATCCCAATTTATAATTCTCTCTAGTGCTAGGATTAAAGATGTGCACCACCACCACCAGCCTCTATCGCTAACTAGTGTGACTTCTGGGATTAAAGGTGTGTGCCACCACTGCCTGATTTGTATAGTTGACTAGTATGTCTGTTTTGCATTCTGATCTTCAAGCAAACTTTATATATTAAAATACAAATGAAATATCATGACATTTACCCTTTTTTCTAAAATTTTAAAAGAAAATTATAAGAAAACTATATAAAATAAGTACAATAACTATGTATAACATATACAGGCAATAAATATATGAACAGTGTCTAGTACATTTGCATTTGACAAATTCAGAGAAAATACTACATATCTATCCTATCTTGGTGAGTCCAAAATCTTTTACCTAATTTACTTTCTATCATAATTTGCTTTCTACACTTGGTAAACAAGGAAAACTATAGCTATAACTGTCTGGTCTTCAATTCCCTCAGAGACCCGAGAATGAAATATTAACTGAGTAAGCAGGAAGTGCAAGCAAGCAACTTCCAAAAATGCGAGAAATGGCAGAAATATCTGGATGCCTGGACAGCCACCCAACGTTCCTCTGCAACATTAGAGCATCGATCTTCAACCTACGGGCCTAGCATATTTGATGGACTTTTCTGTGAAGCAGGATATTCTAAAAGGCTGTCCCTCCTCGTCTTTACAATGTTTGGCAGTCACTTTCTTTTTGTGTCCTGTTTGTCCAATTAGGACAGCACACTGTCAGCAGTCGAGGCAAGGGCACTTTCTTGTCCAGTGGCTTACTTTTGCCAGAAAGAAAGTAAACTCCATGTGCAGTTTCTTCAGTGCCCATTATCTTCTCTGAAGTAGATTAGTGCTCCCACGAGCAGACATATCTCATTATCATGAAAAAGAACCTAGATTATTAAAACATCTTAAATACCATATTCTGTAGATCTCTGACATGTTTGAAGATGACCTATCTAAAATATATCTTTGTTTGACCTTGAATATAAACCAGATGCGACTACAAGTTCAATTATAATAGGTGACTAATTACTAACCTGCATTTCCTTATTACCCTAAACAGTTGGTAATCATAATTTTCAAGGACTAGAAGTTTGCATTACATTTTTTTTAAAAAAGATTTATTTATTTATTGTGTATACATTGTTCTGCCTGCTAGCCAGAAGAGGGCATCAGATCTCATTACAGATGGTTGTGAGCCACCATGTGATTGCTGGGAATTGAACTCGGGACCTCTGAATGAGCAGTCAGTGCCCTTAACAGCTGAACCATCTCTCCAGCCCCTGCATTACATTGTTAAATGAATTGTATAGGTACCATACCTTAAACGACAGTAGAAATGGATGTTCAGTATATTCTAACAAAATTAATCTCAAATTTGTATTAATATACAAATTTGTGTACAATATACAAAAATCCAATACAATGTAAAACATTTAAAATAGTAGTTGCTTTTAAAAAGTAGATTCAACCATCTACCTTTTTATCTTATATCTACATCCTCCCTATTTTCTTTTCAGAGTAGATTCAATAACCTACCCTTTTATACTATCATATATATCCCCTTTTTCTCTTTTCCAAATGAGAACTCTGTATTTAATCTCCTTTGTTCAACTTTTCTCCTGACCGCAAACAATAACAACTTGTAACCAAGCCCCCTAAACAATGACAAATATCCATAACCCATTGAAAGACCGAAAACTACCCACCCCACCTCTTGGGAGTGTGGGTGTCATGTATTTAAATTTACTTCCTGCTGTCTGGGTCAACAATACCTTTAGGGGATCCTGAAAAGAAAAATTTGGCTTAATTGTCAAGTCCTGAGAGAGATAGCAGTATCATTTGTTGTCCAGTCTCTACGCAATGGGAAAGTGCAGAGCTTGTCTCAGCTCTTTGGCCAGAGTAGTCTGTTAGTACGGATCATCTCAGTTAGCCACCTCAAAATTGTTCTTAGCAGTTTGTGGTTCTAAGCCGATCTTTAGGTGGTGTTTTTCAGCTCAGTGGTGTTACTATAGTCCTGAAGGAATCATTGTTGTGGGGTCCCATCCTCCTTTTGGAGATTGCAAAGGTGGCTATTAGGAGGCCGTTTTCACTGCAGAAAACTGATAGAGACTCACACCCGAAATCAAGTACAGAAGTACAGGGCAGTAGATGAAACCCTTTCCTATAATTAGTTAGTACTCTATATGACCATTAATATCATGACAAAAAGATATATATATGTATATATATGTATATATATATATAGTGGGATTCCCATCTATATGCTGTGAATATTTTTTTTTGCCATTTGTGAATAAAGAAGCTGCTTTTGGGGGGCTGGAGAGATGGCTCAGCGGTTAAGAGCATTGCCTGCTCTTCCAAAGGTCCTGAGTTCAATTCCCAGCAACCACATGATGGCTCACAACTATCTGTAATGAGGTCTGGTGCCCTCTTCTGGCCTGCAGGCATACACACAGACAGAACATTGTATACAAATTGTATACATAATAAATAAATAAATATTTTAAAAAAAAAGAAGAAG